CCACATAGGCGCCCCTGTCTTTTTCTCTTTAAATGTGTATTTACTTATTTTGAGAGAGGGCACTCGCAAGTCAGGGAGGGCAAGAGAGAAGGAGAGAGAGAATCCCAAGCAGGCTCCACACCGTCAGCGCAGAGCCTGACATGGGGCTCCATCTCACAAACCATGAGATCATGATCGGACCCAAAATCAGGAGTTGGATGCTTGACTGAGCCACCAGGAGCCCCTGTCTTTTCTCTTTCACATTACAGAACAGCAGGACAACCTGAAAGATACAGCATTTTATTTGCAAAATCTTTGCCAACTAACTTGAAGAATGAAAGAAAATAATTCCGTCGCTATCTCAAAAAGAACATCTTTTAAGCTTCCCTCCCAACCTGAGCACCCTGGAATCCCAGACATTCCAATCCTTCTGTTCTAACTCAAATCCCCACCATGGCATAGATGCATAATTCCCGTGGGAAGGAAACCTGAGACAGGCAGAAGCCATTTAAGGAACGTGCACTGTACTTTCTGGTAGAGAGGGCAGCAGGGAGCACACGTCCCTGAGTCAGGCAAGGATGCCACGTGGCTGACGGCCATCTCTCTTCAGCCAGCACAGCCTTGCAACAGCGTGACCTGGGGGGGTGTCTCAGCTGAAGATCAATGTCTCTGCATCTCCAGCTTGGGAGGCGGAGTTGGATGGAGGGGTGAATGCTTTCTTGCCTTCAGCTAGAGCTTTAAAATGCTGTGAGGAAAGAAGAGAGGGTACACGGAGTTTGGGTACGTTGGCTGCTATATCTGAGCAAGAACTAACCTCTTCACCACCCGTAATGCTCCAGTTTTTTCTAGGTTCCATTTCAGAACAATTCCTTGGTGCTATTTTTGAAAAGCAGCTAGAAATCTGCCCCGCCTCCTTCAAAGATGAACCCCTCTCCTTCTGTCCTGCTTCCGTCCGTTAGGCCACATGGTTCTCCCACAAGGAGTGTCCTTGGTAGACCCTCACAAGCCTGGCCACGCCAAAGGCCCACAGCCATTCCGCCTGCCTTCCTGTGAAAGCCCAACCCTCCTGCTTGCTGCTCTTTTAATGACAGAGAAGGGTGATGGTAACTCCAGCAGAAACATCCTTGTCAAAGGATCCTTCCCTTGTCAAAGGACACATCACAGCCAACTCGGAGGAGTGGAGACTATAGTGATCTCGCTACAGCTTAAAGCACTTTCTAATGCTAGCCTCACCTGTGAGTTCTTGAATTCCGAGTAGAGGGAAAAGAGCAGGTGTAGGGACTGAATCCGACTCTTGTAGACAGGGATGTCGAGGATGGCTGAAATCAAGAACTCCCATGAGCAGAACCAAACAAAACCGGGAATTATCTGTTTAGAATAGCCAAGCCCCTCCCAGATGGGACGTGTTACTATGCCTCTGGGGGTTAAACACCTGGCAGGGAGTCGCCTAAGCCCAAATACCACCTTCAGTGCTGCCAAATAGTAAACTGGCTTAAAGCGAGGGCCATAACTCAAGATGCTGTCTTCCGAGAGTAAACAAGCCTTTTCAAAAGCCCACAATGTATTCATCCAGAAACGGAACCGGGAGGGGATGGGGGAACTTACCACAGATCATGTCAATGTACTCTGCCAGGCTGCAGTCGATCTCTGCCGTAGGCAGGCTCACCTAGGAGGAGCGTGGGACGGACCAAAGTCAGAAGGCTGAAGCTTCAGCGGGGCCAGCACCCCTCCCTCTCTCTGAAGGAAGAGAGCTCCCAGCATAAGGCATGTCATGGGCCGAACTGTGCTCCCCCCAAATTCCTATATTGAAGCTCTAACAGCCAGTACCTCAGAATAGGACTGTATTGGAGACACAGTCTCAAGAGACATAATGAAGCTAAAATGAGGTCATCAGGGTGAATCCTAATCCAGTAACTGGTGTCCTTATAAGAAGAGCAAATCAGGACACAGGCACACACAGAGGGAAGACGGCCAGGAGAGAGGCCCTGGATGAAGTCAACTCTGCTGACAACTTGACCTCACACTTCTAGCATCCAGATGTGTGAGAAAATAAATTTCTGTTGTTTAAGCCACCCAATCTGGGTCATGAAAGCCCTGGCAAACAATACAATGTGCTTTCTTCCCTCTGATCAATAAAATGACATTGGTGACATTCATTAACCATAGTGGATGATCTAACAGGACCAAAAAAATAAATGAATAAAAATAAGTAAAATACACTGCCATGCTATCTTCCGGTGTGTATTTGTGAGGAAGGGGCTGATCCCAAGCCACGGCCAAGTATTTATGGCTACTTGGTGTTATAATGCCTAATGGGCATGGAACACTATAGGAACAGAAAAAATGGAATATGACAGATGAGGTGATAGGCTTTGGGTCTAAACAAGTCATACTGTAAGTTTAAAAACCATTGGCTCTGTAAACAATTTTTGTTCTTTTTTTACAAAAAATCAGAGTGTGTAGGTAGGTCTGCAATTTCCTGTTTTCATTTAACATGTCATTGATATTTTCTCCTATCAGAGTAAAATAAAACCAAATAATATTCTACTGTGTAAGTATTTCACCAAATAAATGTACTACAGTCTATTCAGTTCCCTAATCAGACATTTTTCCTCAGCTACAGCTTTAAAAATGCTTTGAGGAAAGAGATTGCTTTCAAATTCTTGGCTTTTACCACTGTTCCTCAATAAAATAAACATTTACCTAAAAACTCTGTCCTCACAGAGCTTATAGGGAGTTTTGATAGGGAGAAACAAAAACCGAAATAAGTAAGGCATAGAGTATGTCAGAAGGTAAGTGTTAGAGAAAAAGCAGGGCAAGGGGGTGAGGAACATTGTATGGCTGGTGTGGCCATTTTAAATATGATAGCCAAGGAACTGTAAATTGTGTTTGCTCAGTTTCCTTTTCTTGATATAGAAGAGCTCTTTGCTTGGACAGTAATCCAACATATAATTTTTTTCAGTTCATCACTCTTTAACTTTGTTTAATGGCAAGTACTGGTACTGAGAACTTTTCATTTCCAAATCTAAAATGTCACATTTTCCCCATTATGACTTTGAAGTTTTTTTTAAATGTTTTTAACGCTTTATTTATTTTTGAGGGAGACAGCGTGTGAGCAGGGGAGTGGCAGAGAGAGAGGGAGACAGAGAGAGAGAGAGAGAGAGGTAGAGAGAGAGGGAGAGAATCCCTAGCAGGCTCCACACTGACAGCCTCTGATGCAGGGCTCAAACTCACAAACCGTGAGATACTGACCTGAGCCCAAACCAAGAGTCAGACGCTTAACCATCTGAGCCACCCAGGCGCCCCTTAGTTTGTCTTTATCCCATTATGTTTTTCTTTTATTTTTGAGAGAGACAGAGTGCGAGCAGGGGAGTGGCAGAGAGAGAGGGAGACACAGAATCCAAAGCACGTTCCAGGCTCTGAGCTGTCAGCACAGAGCCTGATGCAGGGCTTGAACCCACAAACCACAAGATCATGACCTAAGCCAAAGTCGGACACTAAAACGACTGAGACACAAAGGTGCCCCGATTTTTAAGATTCTTAAAAGCAAAAGAAATGGGGCGCCTGGGTGGCGCAGTCGGTTAAGCGTCCGACTTCAGCCAGGTCACGATCTTGCAGTCCGCGAGTTCGAGCCCCGCGTCAGGCTCTGGGCTGATGGCTCAGAG